AAGCATTAAGGCCAGCCTGAGCTTAAAAAAAAAAAAGTTCCTTTAAAAGTGACAAACTGGCTCAGATCAACTGTTAGGGTCACACTTACCAATGCCAAGGGACATTACAAAACAGGAGGATGACGATAAAAAGTTCATTGCATTCAATTTGCCCTAATTTCTTGATAATAGTTTCCTATTAGATTTTCTGATTAATACTGATGGCTCTTACCTAGGCTGCGATAATTAGGTTTTGATCTATTGTGACATTAATGATCACAATCAGTTGACTTTGAAATTGTCTTTAACTAATGGCTCTTCCCTTGTCAGCCTTTGCCTCCAGTGCAGGACCTGGCCCTCCTCCACTTTGTTTTAACCCCTTCTCCCACTGACCTCAGAAACAAACAGCATGGGAGAATCAGGTCTTCCCTTAAAACACAACTTTAAAACTATTTTCAAACATGTTTCTCACAGAGGCCCTCAGGTGAAATGAGGGCCAGAGGAAAGGGCAGGAGAACAAACTACCAAGGAACAACAAAAACGCCATCTAAGAGACAACCAGAATCAAGACTGACCGCTCACGTGGCGTGGAGGGCTGACGCTACAGGAGATGAGGTAGATTAAAATGCAAGATTCAGCCAAGCAAAAAAGAAATGAGAAGTGTTTTATGAGGCTATCCAGAGAACTTCACGGCTAACTTTCTAGAACAGTCTAATTCCTGGGAATTCTGACTTCCAAAGCTAGTCAACTGTCAATTCCCCAGGTAGAGAGCTAAGTGTCTTTTTCCTGGGATATCATGGGTAGAATGAGACTTTAAGATCAGACTAATTCTTAACTGGACTGGGCTTCACACTAGACCTCCCTAGACAGATGAGGTCTAAGGAGCCAGCACATGTGTTTCTGGGAAAGGTTTCCACGTAACTGACAGGTGCTGCTTAGAAATTACCCCAGTGGTGCCTGAGTGAAACTATACTATGACCCTTAGGTAGATGCTTAGGCATTAACAGATGTTCCCCAAGCCTTCTTTTTTAACAAACCCCTTGCCATTAATGTTTTCAGTTTAAAGCCAGAGTCAAGTTGATTTCTCCAAGAGGGATGAGAAATTGAAAAAAGCATGAGCAACTCTGCTAGAATGCCTGTAAGTATACAGAAAAGACCCACAACAAAGCAACACACAACAGACCTGCAATACAGGTAAGAGGGGCTCAAGAGGGCTAGCAATGCCCACTCACCTGCTTTTGCTCCCATAATGACAACATTTCTCACTTTTCTGCAATAAACCAAGACGTCACTGTGCTCCATGGCCAGATACCTCAGTTCATTTAAGACAACAATTCTTTTCCACAGACGAACCAATTAACAGCATCTTCCTACTCTAGGGTTTTCTCTACGGGAACCCAGGACTTTGTGAACACTATACTAGCACTACCACTGACTGACCACTCAGCCTCATCCTCCGATACCACTGTCCACTTGTCATTGCCACAAAACCAGAAATTTATATCTATTTGTAAAATTCCTTGTATCTTGAGCCAAAATAATGCTTACTGAATGAAACCAATAACAATGTATGCTAATGAGGTGGGAATTTGGACAGCATAATGCAAAGCTGGCTGGCTAGGTTACCTAATGCTTTTGTGTAGAGCTGGCAAGATGTTTTTGAAAAAAAAAAAATGCTTATTAATGGGTGAAGCCAGCAAGAAACTGCAGTTCACTGGCTCCAGCCCTCTCCTCTCTCTGCCTCACCATGGGCATGCCTAGTGCTCTGCTTACAAAAGCACAGACATGTGCTTCTTAGTGTAAAACCTACACTGAAGGAATGGGTCCTGAATCCAAACAAGCACTTCCTTTAAGCCAGTCTGTACCAAGATTCTAGACTTCAAATCCACTGTAGTTCTCTGGCCATCACAAAGTATTTTTGGTTCTCACTTTGAACTCTAATGGCTTAGATGATCATTATTTAGCCCAGAGATCCCTCACAGTACCTTAGGCAAGCTGGACTAAGCCACATATCCAATAAAATCTCAAGATAAAAATTCCTAAAACCTTCCCTAGAGCCCTGTGATTTGAGCTGAATAGATTGCAGGGTGGTTACAAAATAGAAATACCCAAGTTATGCATACAGGACCAACCCTTCACTCATTTAAGGAAGGGAAGGAAGGAGGGAAGGAGGGAGGGAGGGAGGGAGGGAGGGAGGGAGGGAGAAAAAAGTTATCTGCAGATGCAGCCAGACTGTGAAGGGCCACGCAGAGAAGATAAAACCAGACTGCTGTTTAGAGAATAATGCAGAATGGCCCACCAAGCTTTAGATGGATGCTACCAGAGGCTCACCTTCTTAGCAGAAGAGGAGAGGCCTCTGCTCAGCCCCAAGACCAGAAGACCTGCTAAGCTATATTGGGTAAATTCTACTAGAGAAAGCTCTGCCAAACCCCATAGAAAGGGCTATCACTTAACAGAAGAAACTCAGCATTACAAAGATGTTCTGAGCCAGGCATCATGGTACACAGCTGTAATCCCACCCACTTGAGAGACTGATGCAGAAAGGTCCCAAGTTCAAAGTGAGTTCAAAACTAGCCTAGGAAACTTTGAGGGCTCCATCTCAAAATAAAAATTTAAAAAGGGTGGCTGAGAGATGGCTCAGTGGTTAAGAGCACAGACTGCTCTTGCAGAGGACCCGGGTTTGATTCCCAGTGCCCACATGGTGGCTATGAACCATCCTTAACTCCAGTTCCAGGGGAATCCAAAGCCCTCTTCTGACTTCCAAGGCATTGCACGACCCGGTGCACTCACATGCATGCAGGCAATACACTCAAACACATAAAAAATAAAATAAAAGCATTGACCAAAACCTATTTGGAGAGACATGTGGTAGCATGAGCCTGTAATCCTAGTACTTAGGTGGTGGAGGCAAGAGATCAACAATTCAAGGTCATCCTGGGCTACATAGGAAGTTTGAGGTTAGTCTGGTATTAAAGAAATTGTCATTAAAAAGGAAAAAAAAAAAACAGCCGGGCATGGCACACGCCTTTAATATCAGCATTTGGGAGGCAGAGGCAGGCGAATCTCCATGAGTTCAAGGCCAGCCTGGTCTACATAGTGAGTTCCAGGACAGCTGGGGCTACAGGGAGACCCTGTCTCAAAAAGACCAAAAAAAAAAAAAGAAAAAAGAGGGTTCCTAGGGATTATTGGTCCTGTGGTAGAGCACCTGTCAGTACCTGTAAGGCCCCAAGCTTAGCTTAATCCTAAAATCACAAAAAAGTTCTGAGAGATTATTTCTTTTTAAAAACAGGGTCTCACTATGTAGCCCTGGCTGGTATGTAGAACTTGGTATTCTACGTAGACCAGGCTGGTCTTGAAATCAGAGACCCTCTGCCTCCCGAGTGCTGGAATTAAAGATGTGTACCAGCACATTTGGCCTGAAAGAGGATTTAAGGGTGCTTTGTCCTTGGCTACTTTTCAGGGGGAATAAGCTCCATGAAACAGTTTTATATTTGAAGCTGTAATTCTTCAAAGGAGAAAACAGCTACTCAGCGTCAACAAATGCTGGAGGCACAGGCAGGCATCTGGTTCCTTTATACAGAGGCTGAAATTAGTCTTGGTACCCCAGCTCCCCATTTCTGTACAGAACCAGCAAAGGTATCAAGGAGAACAAAAGATGTTTTGATAGTACTTGGTAGAAAACCATGAATCTATGAACTAAGGATACTAGAAATTGATGGATGTTTAAAACATTACCTGCTGCCACAGTAATCACGCATCCTAACCGTCTCAGGACCAATCCTTTTCCTTTTTGAGACAGGGTCTCACTAAATTGCCCAAGCTGGTCTTCTTGAAATTAAGATCCTCCTACATCAGCCTGGGATTATATGCTTAAACTACCAGGCCTGGCTTCTTAAGACCAATTTTAGTACTAAATATTGCTATTTGTTCACATGCTAAGTTTTTGCTTTAAAGAAACTATATGGTTTCAGGGAGGGGATCTAAATATCATAAAACTATGTGGTATGAAAATCAAAGAAATTCAGTTAAAAAAAAATGGTTATGTCAGGCACAGGGGTACACGCCTTTAATCCCAGCACTCAAGAGGCAGAGGCCAACCTGGTCAACACAGTGAGCTCCAGGCCAGACAGGGCTACATAGTGAGACCCTGTCTCTCAAAGGGAAAAAAGTCACTGCAATTCACATGCCTACTCAAACAGGTTGGCCTTTTCTGCAACTGCAAACCAAGAGACTCGTATCATGTCCTTGGGAGCTCTGGCCTAGTTCTATCTTACTCTCACCTCACCCTAACTGCTACCCTTGGTTACTTATATGACAAATCTGCTTTGTAACTCTCCATTTTTTTTGGGGGGGGGTTCTTTTTGAGACAGGGTCTCCCTGTAGCCCCAGCTGTCCTGGAACTCACTATGCAGACCACACTGGCCTTGAACTCACAGAATGCTGGGATTAAAGGCGTGCGCCACCACGCCCGGCTCTCCTTCATTTTTGATGCCCACCACTGGATTAAGTACAGACAACTGCCAATTATCCAGCATTTGACCTAGTCTTTAATTCCTTGGAAGTCAATGGAATAGGGAAATAGAATGCCCACCCAGTGTAATGCTTAGGCTATGAGCTCTTATCCTACCTCAGTACACTCAGAGGCTCTTCCTGGCTGACTTAAACCAAAAGCTTCATTGTCTGTCATGTCAATGTAGCAACAGCCGTCTTCTTAACTGTGCAGTATAATTTCTGACATAATTTACACAAGCACACAGAATTCAATCAGCAGCTGAGCAGGAAAGCAATGTTAACAAATGCTATGAATGGGCCTATGATTTGCATATTATTTGACTCATCTGTGGACTGGAGTGATCCATCCATTCCCCTCATTACTATGAATAATCTAGAAATGGTTGGATGCTTCTGGCCAGACAGCTATGTTTTAAAAATCAAAAGCAACAACAAAAACAGCCCTAAAAGCTGACAAACTCTAGAATCAAGGCAATCTCAAGCATTTATTCTTTTTTTCAGCTTTGGGGCTGGGACAAGGATGGTCAGCTCAAAATTCTACTCCTTTATTGCTTTTAGTCCCGATACTCTAGTCTTCTCAACTACAAGAAGAAAAGGATAAAGAGAAGTCGGGTGTTTCTTGGTGAACAAAAGCTGGCAGAGTACGGCCAGAAAGATTTCTCAACATAATAGCAAAGCAAATGTAAACTAAAGGGAAAGTTTGTTGAGTGGTGAAAGACTGTGTCAAAATGCTAATGCCAGGACCTGTCACTCTCTAGGGGAAAGTGTCATTTTCTGAGGTGGAAAAAGGGAAGAACATTAATACTTTGAGGGCTCTTAGTGGCAAACCCAGGAGTCATGAGGCAGTAGACTTGGGAGTATTACTGCTATGAATGCTTAAAATTGATACTGCGGCCAGAGCTTCCCTTCGAGTTCCCACCTGAAAATAATGACATGGAAAGGAAGCTTGAATCCACTGAGAAGTGAGTCAGGTCTGAAGCCTCTTTGGTAACAGAAATGCTTTGGGAGGCCATAAAACTTGGCAGGGTTGGAGGGTGCCCAGCACCTTGGCACAAGCAAGCACCAGGCAATCACTCACACCTACATAGTCTAAATATGAGGGATGGAAGGAAAGAATAGAAACATACCACAGGTGATACCAAAGACAGCTGTATCATGTCCCATTCCATTATTCTCCTGAACTATAGCACACAATTTCCACAGTTAATAATCTCGTCATTTTATCACAAATTGACATCACCTTACAGAAGCAGAATCAGGGATTGGAAAATAGCAAGGCCAAAAGTCCTAAGGCTAAATGGAGTGCCTAGACAAATTTAAATAAGTTCAAGCCCTCAAAAGGATGGAGTTATTCTGGAAGAGTAGGTGAGGACGAACAGGGGTGACCCAGAAGACCACACCAGGGACCCTGTCTTCTCCTGGTAGAGCTAAAGGAGGTTGGGAAAGGTGCCAACAGGTAGGCCACTGCTGTTGGCTTTCTAAAAGATGGGCAACATCCTTTCCATCCCAATATATCAAAACAAAGGCCAGTTGGTCATCAATATGTTCTAATAACCAAATAAGACATCGAAGTCATCATGATTGTAATAAAATCCCCCAACCTAAAAAGAAATCAGCCCTAAAAGATCAAGACTCTAAGGTGATTAAAAAGTTATAGGAGAGCGGGAGGAAAATATCAAGGTAAAGGAAAAAACTGTGGGAATTACACACAGTATGTAAATGCCTGGTCTTCACAGCGTTACATTTATGAATCAGACCATCATTATGTTACAAGAGAACCGATACCAACATTTCTCCTGTGGAGCACAGTGATAAGCACATTTTTATGGATGTGTTTAGGGTAGAAAGAGCTGGGAGAAGGGAGAAGAGGCAGGAAGGTGAGCATATTATGTACAAGGAGAAATGACAGAGACCACCCCTCCTTTAGCTCTTTGCGCTCTCTTTCTCTTTGTTTTCTGCATCCTCTGGATATGCATGCCAAGTCAGTCTCTCCTCATAAAATGCTATCACAATTTGTGGACACTTCACATTGGCTTCTTTTGCAAGAACCAGGTCTGCTTCATCTGTGTCTTTCCTGAAAAGAAAGAATGTGAGACTTAGAAGACAGCCTGAGAGAAATCTGTCTGTTATGTCATTGTTTGGATTCTCCTGGCTTGATTTCCTCCTCACATCTTGATTTCAAGGTAAAAAGGACCTTAACAGACTGGAGGTATAGAGGTATAACTAAGTGCCCCCCCCCCCCGCTTTTTCCTTTGGTCTTTTTGAGACAGGGTCTCCCTTGTAGCCCCAGCTGGCCTGGACTTACTACGTAGAACAGGCTGGCCTCGAACTCAGAGATCTGCCTGCCTCTGCCTCCCGAGTGCTGGATTAAAGGTTATCACACCTGGCTCTGATGGAGCCTTTGAATTTGATCTTCAGCATCAAAAAAGACAAAATAAAACAAAACAAAAAACCCAAACAACAACAACAAAAAAAAAAAAGAAGGGAGGGAAAGCAAAGGAAAAGGGAGGAGAAAGCCAGCCAGGCATGGTAGGTACAAATCTATAATCCTGCAATTCCAGCACTGGGGAGGTGGAGGGCAGGAAGATCTTGAGTTCAAGGTCATCCTAGACTATACATTGAGTTCAAGGCCAAATTGAGTTGTCAGGAAGGAAAGGAGGGGAACCTAACAGTTCAGTATTTTCAAGAACTTTTTAAGTACTATACTAGATATAAAAGTACATAGCTAGAATTCAGATACAAAACATGTAGGCTCAATCAAAAATAATAAATTATATTTATTCTACTTCTATATTATCTATTTGTATATATGGGCAAGTGAAGAAACACAATCAAACAGCCATATTGGTTATATATAAGTCAATCAATCTAGTTTCTGGATCACCTAAGGGAAGGGGTCCTAACCCTCCTTACTTTGTGACCCTTTAAATACTCATTATCTTTTTGGTCAGAACTGTGAATTGGAAAAATAGGAAAATAGAAATTTATGTGCAAATTTTCAACTGCCAAGTTACCAAGTCCCACTACCAAACATAACAAACAAAACAATACAAACCAAATTTAGTAACATGTATCTTTAACTAGTTTCTTTTTAATTTATTGGGTATGGTGGCATATACCTATAACTCCAGCACTAGGGAAGTGGAAACTGGATTAGGACTTCAGGGTCAGCCCAGCTACACAGCTAGTTCAAGGCCAGACAAGGGTATTATAATAAGAGACCCTGCCTCAAAACAAAACAAGCTGGTGGCACAAACCTGCAATGCCAGTATTCAGAAGACAGAAGCAGGAGCAGTGCTATAAACTGGAGGCTGGCTAGCTCTACATAGGGAGTTCCAGGTTAGCCAGGAATATAGTGAGACCCTATCTCAGAAAATAAGAAAGTCTGGGATGTGTGATATAGCTCAGTTAGTAGTGTTTGCCTAGTGTACATAAGGCCCTGGGTTTAATCTCCAGCACGTATAAAACCAGGCACAGTGGTGTAGGTGTCAGACTGTAATCTCATTGCTGGGGAGGTGGAAGCAGGAAGATCCAAAATCCAAGATCATCCTCTACTACAGAAGCCTGCCTACCTGGGCCACATGAGAGCCCTGTCTCAAATATGAAGCTATAATTATGTAACTCTGGGCCAATTAGCTTCCTTAGTGACACTGTATGATGAATCTTCTATGTATGTATTGTGAAACAGGTAACTGAGGACCACAACACAAATCACTTGCCTATGAAACCAAACTAAGAGGAAGTACTTGATGTTCTAAAAGCCATTCTCTCTACCTCATAAAGTAACTGGTGCTTTGTTTTGCATTAACCCTAATGCTTTTTGCTGAAATGTCCTTCTCTTTTTGACATTATTCAGTGGTCTCACCGAACTTTTAAAATTCATGGTCACCAGCTCATGATCTTAATGCAAATGATTCAGTCCTACTTAAAAAAAAAAAAAAAACTTAGGTCATACTTATATGTTTCCTACACCAAATTTACTTTCCTGATGTGTGGATTACTAGAATGTAAGAATACCAAAGCTTGAGAATGTCATAAATCCATTTTGAACCACAATTTAATATTGACAACTGGTATAGGTTAAGGATCAAAATCTTGCCACACAGTGAGGCCCACTCTCTCTTACCATTTCATTAAGAACATTAAGTCACCACAAGAGTCTGTTGCCCCAATGATCTTCTCTGGTTCCAGGCCTCTCTCAAAGCCCCGAGCGATATCATTGCTCTGCTATAAGTAGAACAGGAGAGATTAAAGTTTCAAGAAAGAGCAAAGAATCTGTTTCTCAGAACAACAAAACACAGCCTTCATTAATATCACTTGATATCATTACTGCCATCAATTCAGAAAAATTCTAAGAACTTGAAAAATAGAGTACTACATCAAACAGTGACAGCAATGCCAAGAGAAGAGATGCTGTTGTCTTTCCTGGTGTTCCTTGAGAAAGATGAGGAAGGAGGCCCTAACAGTCTTTAGCATCCTGTGAGTCCACATCCTCAATCAGGCAATCTTCGAATCCTCCTCATTTAGAATCTCTTCAGTACTGTAAGTGAACTAACTCCACTTTTGCTTCTGAGATGCCAAATAAGCCCATGTGTACTCCAGACCCCCTTTACTCTCTCAGCTTCAAATATGTAATTTTTCTCAATCTTAAATTTTTTTTTGGGGGGGGTGTTTTTTTTTTTATGGGGGGGTCTCACTTAGTAGCCCTGGTTAGCCTAGAACTCACTATGTGGACCAGGTTGGCCTTGAACTCATACAGACCCGCCTGCCTTTTCAGTATTAACTTTTTAGACTTTACCTTAACAGTGACCAATAATATTTTTTTTAAACAAATGTTTTGGAATTTCATATGCTGTATTTTGGATGAATTTAGATCACCCTTCTGTGACCAAGAGTTTTAATACTTCGCACAGTGAAAAATGTTATGAAAAACAGGTTAAAAGTGATGCAAGACCAGTACTATAAAACTGTAAGATCACAAATGCTAATTTGCATATACTTGGTGGAAGAAGCCACCCTGTGTGCTTACCCCCTGCCATTAAAAGGTGGAACCAGACTGGGGCTTTAAGCAACTCAACTGATAATTCAGGAGGAAGAGCACTGAAATGTGATCTCAGGCAGGTATATAATCTAGACACGGGAGCAGTGAACCAGGTATCAACAGCACTGGTCAGAACAAGAAAATCTAATTTTATATGCATCATATACTTTTTTAAAACTTGTGGGAGACAATGAAAGCTTATTTAGTAGTAGCACAAAGAAAAGCTTAAGACTTCCCAAATGAACGAAATCTCAGGTATCTGATTTTCATACCATCTTTTAATGTTCCTTTAAGATACAAAAGCAGGCTAGTGTGATGGCTCAATGGATTAAGGCAGTTGCCACCAAACCTGACCACCTGAATTTGTTACTTGGGACCCATTGGTGAGAGAATTAATTCCCACAAGGTGTCCCCTGACCTGCATGCTCACATGCCCCCACACATATACAACACATAAAAATATTTTTTTAAATAGAGGAATGTAAAAGTTTGCAGGGCTCACATGGTCCCCAAAGACATCAGAACCCACAATAGAAAGGAAATTCCAGCTATGGATCAAGGGGAGATACTGGCTTTTTAAGATACAGCCTCTTTGGGGCATTTAAGGGGAATAGGTTCCCAGATGTGAACACAGCTGCTCACAGCTGGAATGCTGGCAAGGGGACTAAGTAATACATCATAGCTGGCGGCTGAAAACAGTTTGCCACATAGGGAGGGAAATGGGGAATGGAAGAAAAATGTTCAAGATGCTGAAGGAGCCAAGGCGAGGAAAATGCTAAAATCATCATACAAGCAGTAATCTTAAATCAGGCATAATACCAACTAACTACTTTCTTCTGAAGTGGTCTAAAGAAATGTAATCTCCCCCTGTACCTTTAAAACATACAACTAAGCCGGGCATGGTGGCACACGCCTTTAATCCCAGCACACGGGAGGCAGAGGCAGGCGGATCTCTGTGAGATCCAGGCCAGCCTGGTCTACATAGTGAGTTCCAGGACAGCTGGGTCTACAGGGAGACCCTGTCTCAAAAAGACCAAAACAAAACAAAAAAACCCCAACTATGTATCTTCCCAGCTGTCTGACAGCTGCCAGTGTTGCTGAGAACGCTGTCAGGGACCCTGGATGAACATTATGAGGATAAAGGGGACTTTTGGAGGTTGTTTTCAAGGTCAGCAGCTCCAAAAATCAGTCTAGACACAAAAGCCTCTGCAATGGTCAGGGATCAAAGCATGGTACTCAGATCACTACTTTTGTTATTTTTTTATGTTTATTTTATGTGTATGAGTATATTGCCTGCGCGTATATGAGTGCACCCATGTTGTGCACTGCCGCAGGGGTCAGAAGAGGGCTTCGGATTCCCCTGGAACTGTAGTTATGGATGCTTTGTAGCCGCCATGTGGGTGCTAGGAATCAAACCTGAGTCCTCTGCAAGAGCAGTCAGTGTTCTTAACCCCTGAGCCATCTCTCCAGCCCCTTAGATCAGATCATTACTTTTAAAAGGACAAAACCCTAAGTTGAAGAAATGTACACTATTCTGTCCCAAATATCTAGTCAAAAATCTTAGGTTATGTTGTTTTTGCTATTTTAATTTAACAAGAAAAGAATTAAATAACAAAAATCAGAATACAGAGAATTAAAAAAAGGTGTGGTACATTCCTTTAATCCCAGCACTTGGAAAGCAGAGGCAACGGATCTGTTGAGTTCAAGGCAGAGGCACGTGCATGTGCACGCCCACACACACACATACACAAAATAATAAAATGTAATAAAAATAATGTAAAAAAAGAAAAAGAAAAACAAGTCCTAGCTCCTTAGCAAATGGGAAGCAGAGGCAGAGACACGCCAGCCTGGTCTACATAGTGAGTTCCAGGCCAGCTGGGGCCACAGGGAGACCCTGTCACAAAAAGATTAAAAAGAAAATATGATAAACACAGAAAGCATTCTCAAACTCAATACAATTCATCACAACAACATTCAGACCTTTCCAGATACAAAAGCTTTAAAAATAAGGTTGTAGGGGCTAGAGAGATGGCTCAGCAGTTAAGAGCTCTGGCTCCTCTTGCAGAGGACCTGGTTTAGTCCCTAGCATCTGTATGATGAGTAACAACCTTCCTTAACTCCAGTTCAAGGGATCCAATGCCTTCTTCTGGCCTTTGTAGGCACCAGGCACTCATGTGGTACACTTACCTACATTCAAGCAAAACACTCATACACATAAAATGAAAATAAATATAACCTAAAAAAATGCATTGAAGATTCTTCTTGGTGCTGGAGAGCTGGCTCAGTGATTAAGGCTTGCTGCTATTCTAGCTCCATTCCCAGAACCCACATTAGTAGCTCAAAACTGCCTGCAATTCCAACTCCAGGGGATCCAAAACCTTCTGGCCTACTCAGGGACCCGCACACACATGGCATATGAACAGAGAACACATACAAAAAAAAAATTCTTCCTCTTTAAGGCACCTGCACACACATGGCATATGCACAGAGAACACATACATCAAAAAAAAAAAATTCTTCCTCTTTAAAATAACAACTTCTACTCATGGAGAAGGCAGAGTAGATAAATACTTTATATCTATCAGTTCTGCTACCTTCATACAAATTCAGTGCTATAAATTACAATTCTCTTGTTGAGGAGGGGAAGTTAATCAACATCCATCCCTAGAAACTCTTTGTTCAATAATTTACTATTTAGTTCTATCCTTAGAAGAGAAATAACTAAAATAAGGCCTCTTTCTAGATGGAAGGAGCAGAAGGACAGCCAACAGGAGCAGGGAAGGGTAGCTTACCTCTCTCTTCTTTTTGGATTTGATATCATCAGCACTGCTTGAGAAATTGGACTTCCTCTTGTTGCCTTCTGACTTCTCCCTAGGTTTGTTATTCTCACCCTCCTTCATCTTCTTATACTTTTTCATGAACTCAGAGATCAGTTCAGGGCAATCCAAGTTTTTCTCAGGTTCCCACGTGTTGTGCTCCCTGGACCACAGCAATGAAGACAAAGGAAAGGACGATGGATGAAAATCCAGTGTCCTAGTTCTGTCTGTCTGTCTGTCTGTCATCACTGCAGTGCTGGAGACTGGGGGATGACACAAGTGCTATCAGGCTATATCCTCAGCCCTTCCCAATGCTGAAGTTTATTTTATTTTATTTTGAGACAGGGTCTCCCTGCAACTCCAGCTGACTTGGAACTCACTATGTAGATCAGGCTGGCCTTGAACTCACAGAGATCCACCTGCCTCAACCTCCCAAGTGCTGGGATCAAAGGTGTGCGCCATAGCACCCAGCTTATGAAGTTTACTTTAAAGAGGCATATAGTACTTATTTTTGGTCCATTTGACCTACCATTGACTACCTCTGCCCTTCCAAGCACATCGGTAGAAATATTCCACTGAAGATCCTTTGATTAGAGATAGCTATGTGATTGTCTTGAAAATGAAATGTCAACAAAAGTAGCATGCATCATTTTCAGGTAGAAGCCTTTAAATCTTATGGACAATCCACCATTTGTTCCCACTGGCTTGCTACAGTTCCCCAAAAGAAATAGCAATGCTAAAGCAGATCTTAACACAGACACCATGAAAAAGGATACACACATGGTTGCTAAGTATATAAAAAGATGCTCCAAACTGTATACCACCAGGGAAATGCAAACTAAAGCTACAATGTACCCCTGTACAACTATCAGAATGGCCTATCTCCAAAACACCAACCACCAAATGCTGGCAAGATGTGGAACGACTCCACCTCTCATTCACTGTTGGTGACAGAAAGGACACAACCATTTCGGAAGTCATGTTGGCAGTTTCTCACAATACTAAATATACTCTATCTTACCAAAAAGTCCAGTAATTATTGCTCCTTTGTAGTTACCAGAAGAGAAACTTAAACTATCCCCAAAACTTCACACAGATGTTTTGAACAACTGCATTTATAACTGCAAAAATCATGAAAGCAACCAAAATTTCTTTTTAAAAAAAATATTTTATTTATCATTTTTATTTTATGTGTATGTTGTATGCATGTATTGCCTGCATGTAGATAAGTGCACCTGTGTCATGCAATGCCTGTGGAAGAAAGAAGAGAGGCTGTCAGATCCCCTGGAACGGGAGTTATGGACAGTTGTTAGCTGCCATGTGGGTGCTGGGATTCGAATCTGGGTCTTCTGCAAGAACACTCAGTGTTCTTAACTGCTGAGCCATCTCTCCAGCTCGTCTTTCTTTTTTTAAGTTTAGACAGAGTTTTACTATGTAGTCCCGCTGGCCTGGAACTTGATGTATTGACAAAGCTGGCCTTGAACTCACAGAGATCTATCTACCTCTGCTTCCTAAGTGCTGGGATTAAAGGTGGGTGTCATCATGACTGGCCTAAGATGTCTTTCAGTAAGCAAATGGATGAACAAACAAGGATATACCCAGAAAATGGAATAGTATTTAGTACCTAAACATTTTTAAAAAGACAAATCAGTTACCAAGCCATGAGAAGACACAAAGGAAGCCTAACTGCAAATTCCTAAGTGAAGTGAAGCCAACCGGACAAGCCTGGACACTGTGATTATAGCTGTATCACATTCTGGAAAAGATAAAAACTATGGAGATAGTAAAGACCAGGGATGGAAAGGAGAGGAATATCACTGCATGGAACACAGAAGACAGATCTATTTTTGAGACAGGGTCTTGCTTTGTAGTTCAAGTTGTCTTTGAAATGGTGGTCCTGCCTCAGCCTCCTAAATGCTGTGATTACAGGTCAGAGGATTTTCAGTATAGAGAATATTCTGATATAACGGTGTACACATGAATTATACATTTGTTGAAATTCTTAGAATATACAGTAGAATATATAACAGTGAATTCAAGGCCAAGCGTAGCAACGCATGCCTTTGATCCCAGCACTAGGGAAGCAGATCTGTGAGTTCAAGGCCAGCCTGGTCTACATAGTGAGTCCCAGGGCAGCTGGAGCTACAGAGAGACCCTGTCTCAAAAAGAGTGAATCCAACAGAAAGCAAACTCAATAAAAACATACCAGAAGTATATTGTTGCTGTGATGGACTTGACCATGTTGTTTTTTGGGGAGAACTGTGGAAGTATTTGGAACTTTAGGCTAGAAAAGCCATTGAATGCCCAGAACTTGGAAGAAATGTTCAGGGAAATGCAGGCTATGGAGACCTGGCTTGTGACGTTTCAGAGGGAAGCGAAGGCCTCTATCGGGTCCTTTATTTTGGAATCTGGAATCTCTGAACACGAAACCTTCTATGCTTTACTGGGACAATGGATGCTGGCTAGCAGAGGTTGAAGATTCAGCTGTGATTAATAAGAGATAAGCATCACTGAAGTGAAATCTTCTGGGGAGCATTTCCTCAGGGTTCACACACAGCTGTGGTCCAGCAGGCGACAAAGGCTGCACATGAAGCTGGCAGCAAAACCTGGCAAGGTCTAAGAGTCTCCCATATCATACTGGTTTTGAAGGCATGAGAAATGCAATATTGAGGGTGTCATGGAGAGCAGTTAAGGCCTGGCACCATGTGGCAGGGTCAAAGTCCCCTGGAGAGAGGCCAAGAGAAGTCATGTGTGAAGGTGGAGCCCCAGTTGCAATGAAGAGCCCAGGATATCGGGAGATGCTAGGAGAGTGAGCTGTCTGTGAAGACAGTAGTAGGTGTAAAAGCTGGCCTGAGCCTGGGAGATGTTTTGTGTGTTGCTGATGGTGGAGTGGGAGAGGTAGAGGGACCCAAGCCTTTTTCATGAAGTGAGTTCCAGATATCAGACAGCGAGCTACAAGATTTGCAGTTATACTGCTGGATCTGGGTTTCACTAATATATGATTGTTTTTATGCCCTGGTTCTTTACTTCTGGAATGAAAAATATTAAGCTTGTTTTTGTTTTACAGGGGCCTACAGTTAAGAGACTTTGGATGCTGGGGCTAGAGAGATGGCTTAGCGGTTAAGAGCACTGACTGCTCTTACAGAGAACCTGGGTTCAATTCCTAGCATCGACATGGCAGCTAACAACCTTCTAGAACTTCAGTTCCAGGGGAATTCGACGCTGTCTTCTGACCTCCACAGGCACTGCACTACATGGGTGCACTTACATACATGCAGACAATACACTCATACACATAAAAATAAAATTTTTTTTAAAGATACCTTAGTGTTTTTTTAATTGTTAAAAAATGTCTTACCAGTCGGGCAGCACACCTTTAATCCCAGCACTTGGGAGGCAGAGGCATACATACCCTTATGTATGTAAGTGTACCTTGTATGTACAATCCCACAGAAGCTAGAGAGGACATCAGATACTCTGAAACTGGAGTCATAAATGCTTGTTAACTGCCATGTGGGTGTTGGAAACTGAACCCAGGTCCTCTGTAAGAGCAGTCAGTGCTCTTATTGAGGAGCCATCTCTGTAGCCTGAGACCTAGATTTATTTTAAAATATAGTATTTTTATTTTATGTGTAAGTGTCATGCCTGCATGTATGTACGTGCACCCATGTCGTGCTGTGCCTGCGGAGGACAGAAAGGGACGTTGGATCCCCTGGAATTGGAGTTACAGACAGTTGTTAGCTGCTATGTGGGTGGTGAGATTTGAACCTGGGTCTTCTGTAAAAACACTCAGTGTTCTTAACCACTGAGCCATCATTCTAGCCCCCTTTTAAAAATGTTTTATTTATTTATTTGAGGCCTTAGATTTTTTATTTTTTAGGTCTTTTTGAGACAGGGTCTCCCTGTAGCCCCAGCTGACCTGGTACTATGTAGACCAAGCTGACCAGGCTGGCCTTAAACTCACAGAGATTGTCCTGCCTCTGCCTCCCAAGTGATGGGACTAAAGGTGTGTGCCACCATACCTGGCTGAGACCTTAAGATTTTTTTTTTTTTTTTTTTTTTGGTCTTTTTGAGACAGGGTCTCCCTGTAGCCTCAGCTGTCCTGGAACTCACTATGTAGACCAGGCTGGCCTTGAACTCACAGAGATCCGCCTGCCTCTGCCTCCCAAGTGCTGGGATTAAAGGTGTGCACCACCATGCCCAGCGAGACCTTAGATGTTTTAAAAGGTTGAAATTTTAAATACTGTAGGACTTTTAAAGTATTTAAAGTATGTTTTCTATTGTGATATTAATATGAGATCTTGGAGACAAGAAAGGTTATAGTTTAACAGTGATGTGTTTGTGTGTCAAGAAGGAAACTCAATTGAAGAACTTCCCAGATCAAATTGGCCTGGACCTGCAGTCACAGGCCATTGTGAGCAGCCCAACATGGGTGCTGGGACCTGAACTCAGGTCTTATCACCTGCCGATCCCCCTCTCCAACCCAGGCATTTACAACAAAATAGGGACAAATGTTTAATACATCTACTCCATACTCCAAACTTTGTTTTTCACTTTGTATCTATGCTAAGTATCAAGAGCTCAAAGACAGACACTTTTAAGTACCTTTCAAACATCCAAATATTTCTAGTGGTGATTCAACAGACCTAAGAAATACCTGAAATTCTTCAAATATTAAATTCCTATCTCCCAGTATCTCTCATACTTAGTAAAATTAGTCTTATTATTTCTCTTTAGAAAAAAACGTGAGGGGCATGGTGGCACACACTTTTAATCCCAGCACTGAGGAGGCAGAGACAGGTGGATTTCTGTGAATTCGAGGTCAGCTTGGCCTACACAGCAAAGTTCCCGGCCAGTCAGGGTTACATAGTAATACCCTGTCACAGGACAGGACAGGACAGGACAGGACAGGACAGGACGGACGGACGGACGGACGGACGGAAGGAAGGAAGGAAGGAAGGAAGGAAGGAAGGAAGGAAGGAAGGAAGGAAGGAAGGAAGGAAGGAATATAGTAAGAACTGGAACTGAGGATATAGCTCAGTTGGGAGACTCCTTGTGTAGCTACAGGAAGCCCTGGGTTTGGTTTCTAGCACTGTATAAACCAATGTGGTGGCACATGCCTGGAATCCCAATGCATGGGAAGTAGAGGCAGGAAGTTCAGAAGTTCAAGGTTACCTCTGGCTACATAGTTGAGTTTTAGGCTAGCCTGGGATATGAGAACCTGTCTAAAAATAGCAGTCTAGATGCAGTAGATGTTAAGCATCCTGCAACGCATAAATCATCTCACCTAAAATGCCCAGTGCTCCAAATGAGAAACCTTAAATCATGTAATGAAAAGAATTTCATTATGTCCCAAAAGGTCCTCACTTTGTTCAAGGTATCAGCAAAACATTGACTCTTTTTAGCAAAAATATAGTTTTACCTGTTATTTTGGCTACTTTATGTCTGTGTTTTGTCTGCTTTTTTGTGGTATTAATGATAAATCAGGTACTCATATATAAGCTCTACTACTGAGCTATATACATACATACATACATACATATATATATACACACACACACCCTGCCTAGGCCCTCATTTTGCTGTGATGTCAGGATGGGGAGATGGCTCAGAGGGTAAATGAGCTTGCTCTGCAACCCTGACAACTGGAGTCAGATCCCTAGAACCCATTTTAGAAAGCTGGACTCGGTGGTGCACATCTATATGTAATTCCAGCACTGCTACTGCAAAACAGGAGCAGAGACAGGCCGGAAGCTTGTGTCCAGCCTGCCTAGGGGTACTGCAGTGCTGAAACTAGAGACCCTGCCTCAAACAAAGTAGAAGGTGAGAACAAGCCCCAAAAGTTGTCCTCTGAGCCTACCCCCCCCAATAATTTTAAATAAA